ACCTTGCTGAGCCTGGAGGTCCTCAGGGCAGCCGCCAGCCAGCCTGTGTCTGGGGCCCGGAGACCCAGAGCATACGGGGACCACACAGCACCGGGGCCTGGGGCCCGCTGTTCCCCACATTTCCCATTAGGGAGCCAGTGAGCCCCACCAAGCCTGTACCCTGGATGCCTGGAGGACCTGGGAGCCCCACCCCTCACCCACCCTACTGTGCCCTGCACAGAGCAGCAGTCAGCATGGGCACGGTGGCCTTTTCCCATGTCGGTGGCATCATGGAGACCCTTATGTGCCCTGACCGAGTGTGACCCGCAGGCAGCACAGCCTCGGTGTTTGTCTAGGCTTTATGCCAGTCCAGGCTTCTGACACAGGGACTTCAGGGCCACCTGCTTAGTGCTTTGTGGCCTGGGTGGCCTGCACTTCCTAGAGTCAGCACTAGACCCCGTGCCACGACCTTCCCCACAGGGAAGGACAGGGGCTGTGGCCTGGCCTGGAACGGACCTCTGATGCCTGAAGTACCCCTCTAGATTGGGCCCAGAAAACAAAGGGTCAGACAGGGGGGGGAGCAGCCTCTGCAGGGCGGAGTGAGAGCTCTGGGGTCCCAGCTTCCCCCAGGGCCCTCCTGTCGCTGTCATCCCACGTGGCCACCTAAGGTGCTGGCTGGCTGTGGGTGGGAAACCCCACCCAGACACCGCAGGTGCCCAAGGTGCCCAGCAGGCTGGCTGTTCCTGGTAGGCAGTGCGGCGAGTGGGTACCAGGAGTGGGGTGTGCTGTGTCCATGGGAGTGTCTGCTAGGACTGGCCTGCAACAGGGGCTAAGAGCCGGGGTGCTGCTGCATTCTCCCGGAAGTGTGTGTGGCTGTGCTTTGGGGCCAGCCGGGCAGCTGGGAAGGATGGAAACCTCGGTATGAGATGCTGGCAGCGGACCTAGGCCAGTGCTCCGGCTTCATACTTGGGGTCTTGGTCGATGTGGGAGCCCAGACTCGGAAGTACGGTGTCAGGAGCTGTCGAGAGGGCGTGGGGCCAAGGCTGTGATCCAGCCACTCTGTGGGGAGCCCGCCCACCGTCAGCCTCCCGAGTCCCCTCTGTGGGTGGAGCAGCGCCCATGTGCCTGCCCACCTTGGCTTGCTATCCCTGGCCACGTGGCCTTCTCGTCTCCCATGCTCTGCTGTCCACAACTCTGCCCCCGGTCACCATGAGCTTCCGGGCCTCCCAAACCCAGTGCCTGCTCCATGCCATGAGGCAAGCCAAGGACTGGGATGTGAGCGGCTGCCCACCGTGACTGTGCTGGGTGTGGGCACTGCCCAGGGCCTAGGGCAGTGAGGGCCAGCAGCCACCAGAGGACTAGTTCCAGGTAGAGGCCCGGCCAGCCAGGGCCAGGAGAAGGAAGTTACCCACTGGGCCCATGAAACTCCACGTTAGCAGCAGGAAGCCAGCCAAGCAGAGTACAGTCAGGAGATGTGACGGGAAATCCCACCTGGGCCCTGGCCACTGAGAACAGCCAGCCCCAGGGGAGGGCATAGGTGGCCTGGCACTGAGGAGCCCTTTCCAGCCTGAGCAGAGGCCCTGAGGTGACCTCTGATGGACGGAGACACGCAGACCTTTCTGTCGTGGCCTGTCACTCTGCCTTGACAGCCACTGAGCAAGTTGGCTCATTGCCACGGTCACTTCTGTCTAAAGTGACACGGTTCTGACCCGAATGCCCTGGCCGCTCCCCAAGGTCACCGGTCACACATGGGTGACTCTGCATGCGCACCCTCACTCAGTGTACTGGCAGTGCTGGGCAGGGAAGCTGGGACTGCCCTGCCTGTCAGACAGGAAACAGGGAGCCCGGAGCCTGTCCTCAGGCGATGGGGGATGGCCACGCTTCCAGTACCCCCATCCTTGTGCCCCGGAGCTCGGTTCCCACCTAACGCTGGGCTGCCCGCCAGGGGTCTTTGGTCTGCCTGTCCCCTGGGGCCCGTGGTACGGAGGTGGTGGTGCCACTTCCAAGTCCGCTGCGAAGCAGCTTTGGAGTCTCTTCCTGTTTCTGACTCACCGGCTCTCCACCGCTGTCCACCAAGGCTGTGGGGGATGGGGAGGGAAAAGCTGCCCAGGGCAGTGGAACCACAGGAGGCCAGCACGTCCAGGGACCCGTTCCGGCCTCCAGGATGCAGCATGCCAGGACGCTTCCTTCCTGTGATGGCAAAAGTGGCCCGTAATGGACAAAGCCATGACACAGGGTCCTCCCTGCCACAGCCCCTCAGGCTGAGCTCCGTCTCTCACTGTGCCACACGCACAGCAGGCCCCTCCTCAGCCGCCCACACACAGGCGGCTCAGCTCTGGACGTCATCCCGGTGACTTGGGGGCCACTGATGGGTCCCTGGCCAGGGCTGACCTCCAGGGCGGTGGTGTCCCTGCAGGTCACCTGCTGGAGAGCCTGGGGTGCCACCCAGTGTCTCTGCAGTGCCCCTGCCTGCATGCTCACATCTGGAAACAGAGCACAGCCCGACAGCTGACTTCTGGGGCCTTGTGGCCAGGGGAGGACTGTAAAGGAGCCTGGGAAAGGTGGCTCCCAGGTGCCAGGTGGGGAGACACCATGTGTCCCCTTTTCCCCCACTGCTCACCCCCTACAGGGTGGCTCAGCCACCTGGAACACCCCAGCTGCATCTGATGGCCCCCACAGGGCCCATCAGGCCTTGGTGAGGGGCACACGAGGGTATTACTTCGACGACCTTGTGCCTCAGTCTCCCCCAGTGGGGTCTGTGACAGCTGAGTGGCATGATGTGTGTCCCAGATGCCCTCTGTGTGCAGGCATCAGGACTCAGTCCCAGCCTTTGAGGGGCACAGGGGTGCAAGTTGCCAGGCCAGGACTGGCCTGGAGAGGACAAGGAGCTGGGAGCTGGGCTGGCCCCGCAGAGTGAGATGGTGCCGCCCCATGGTGAGTCCCCAGCAGCTTGCGGATCCTCTCACCAGTATTTTTGTCCTTTTTTTCCCTGAGGCACTGGGGACAGAACCCAGGACTTTATGCTAAGCACTCACTGCTGAGCCACGCCCCCAGCCCATCTTTTACATTAAGGCCGTCTCACTAAATGACCCAGGCTGCCCTTGACCTTGCGATCTCCCTGCCTCCGCCTCCAGGGAGGACAAGCCAGTGCCACTGTGCCTCTTTAAACTCTTCATTCATCAGACCAAGTCGCCCCACCTGTAGGTGGCCCGCTTATTTCCCACGCCCCACTGAGTCGCAGGCTCAGAGGGATTCCTGGTGATTCAGGCCACCTTCTTGGCCTGGCCTTACCTGCAGAGGGAGCCCAGGGTCTCGGGCAAGCCCTCGCCGTGGAGCCACAGCTAGCCCAGCCAGCGTGGCCAGGTTCCTGAGGCACCAGGCTCCATGTGAGAGACAGGAGCTCAGCCTTGCGGGACGGCCCCAACCCCGTGGCAAAGGCCAGGAGCACTGAGGTAGACACAGCTCGGTGCCACTGGGCCATCAGGTCTTGGCTAATGGCCCCTCTGGGCCTGGGCTGTGCTTGTCCTGGGATGGGAGTCCTGGCACGAGTGTGGGTTTCATGGTAGCAATTCAGACTCAGCCTGGCCTCCACGGGTCAGCGGCTAGTGGCAGCTGCCATACTGGCCCCAGGAGGTGCTGTGCTCAACCCGGGCTCAGCCCCCCAGGAGCCCTGCTGAGGCCCTACAGACTCCTCCCCTCGGGCCACATGGGGCCCATAGGTGCTTTTGTAACCGTGTGACATCCTGCTCGGCTGTGGCCCTCTTGGGAGTCTGGTCTCTGAGACAGCCCTGCACCCAGGCACCCCATCCTTTTTTTCTCTCACAGTACTGGGGACTGAACCCAGGACATTTGCAGGCAGGTACCTCCCGGCTCTTTTCACTTCTCATTTTCCAAGAGTCTTGCTAGGCTGCCCAGGCTGAGCTTTGGGTCCTCCGGCCTCAGCTTCCCAGGTGTTAGAGTGACAGCCCACGCTGCCACACCAGGCTGCCGCCTGCTTTCTTTGCTGTCGCTGTGCTGCCTTAACAGCCCTTCTGTCCCTAGTGCCTGCGCGTGTTCCCCACAAGAGGTCTGGGGTGCAGCCTCCTGGTGGGGTCAGAGGGAAGGTGTTGGGCTCCAGGAAGGCTGAGTCCCCCGAGACCTGCAGCAGTGGCCGCGGAGGGTCCCGGCGGCTCCTCTGTGCATGGCGCATTCAGCGCAGAGACCTCGCCTGCACACTTCGGTCTACGCTCCCCTGGCTTTGGGCCTCTTATGGGAAGAGCCAGGTCTCCTGGAGGCCGCCCTCCCGGGAACCCCCAGCTCACCACAGCCAGCGGAAGTGAAACTGTCCCTGCAGCACAGTGTGTGCAGGGACACCTTGGCAGGGCCGGGCCTGTCCTGGGACCTGCAGCAGGGGCAGGCGACGGCCCAGCTGCCCTCGTGTCTCCTCCTGCCCCTTTTTCCCACCTCGCTTGGCTGGCCCAGCAGCCCACTCTGTCACTCTGTCACCTGGCCAAGGGGGTGCAGCTGAGCCGAGGGCAGCTGGCCCAAGGGGTGCTGACTGGCGGGCAGGGGCCAGCAGGAGTCCCGGCCCCTGAATGAGGGGGCACAGGCCAGCAGCCTCCTGGTAGGCGCCGCCTCCGGTCACTTCCTCTGTCTTCTGGGTGCTCTCCCCCCTGTATCCTGGTACCTGTGCTGGGGCTTGGGCGCTGGCTGTGTGTGACGCCTGCGCTCCTGCCCTGGCTTCTGATGTCGGGGTAGGGTTCTACCCATAGGTGATTTCCCAGGATGTTACAGTGTCCGGTCCCCTCAGGCGTGTCACACCTCTGGACAGCACTCAGACTAGAGCCAGAGGCACTGGGGGCACCTAGACAGGCCACAGCCACAGGACAGTTTCCGGGGATAGCTGGCTGGACCTCTGGGGGCAGCAGACCTGGAGCAGGCTATGTGCTGAAACTCTTGGACCCTCAGCTGTCCCTGGCAGGTACAGCAGTCTCCTGCTGCCCGGCCTCTGCCTGCTCAGTGTTTCCCCTTCTGTCCCCCAGCTGGTCAGCGAGAAGGTTGGGGGCGCAGAGGGGACCAAGCTGGACGATGACTTCAAGGAGATGGAGAAGGTGAGGAGGAGCCCAGGCCTGGGTGCAGGCGGCAGGCAGGGCCATGGGGGGCTGTGAGGACCGGGGGAAACCCACACACGGGCCGTCTCTGCAGAAGGTGGATGTCACCAGCAAGGCCGTGGCGGAAGTGCTGGTCAGGACCATCGAGTACCTGCAGCCCAACCCAGGTAGGAGCCAGCAGCCCGCCGCCTGGCCCCTTCAGGAACCTTGGTGTCACCAGGGTGAGGAGTGAGGCGGGCCACAGCCTGTCCTTGCTGCGCCCCAGCTTCCCACACTGACCCTGGACAAGTGGCAGGGCCAGCTGTCCTGTCCTGTCCTGTCCTGTTGACCTGGCCAGGGAGGAAAGTGGACGTTTACCTGGCACAGAGCAGATGCTGTGTGCTGCAGCGGGCTCCTTAGCCCAGTGCCACAGAGGAAGGACAGGCAGCTTGTGGCCCCAAAAGAACCTGGTCCCCTCTCCTGGGTCCGGCCAGTTCCGCAGAGGCTGCCTCCTTCCCTGCCGAGGCCGCAGTGTCTCAGGACAGGGCGCGAGGGGCTCCAGGGTGCCCACCGGCCATCCTGTTGCAGCCTCCCGGGCCAAGCTGACGATGCTGAACACGGTGTCCAAGATCCGGGGCCAGGTGAAGAACCCCGGCTACCCGCAGTCGGAGGGGCTGCTGGGCGAGTGCATGGTCCGACACGGCAGGGAGCTGGGCGGCGAGTCCAACTTCGGTGAGCGTGGGGCGGGGCTGTGTCTGCAGCGGGGCCTTTGGCCCAGGCCACACTCCCTGACCCCTGCACCTCCCCAGGGGATGCCCTGCTGGACGCAGGGGAGTCCATGAAGCGCCTGGCGGAGGTGAAGGACTCGCTGGACATCGAGGTCAAGCAGAACTTCATTGACCCCCTGCAGAACCTGTGCGACAAGGACCTGAAGGAGATCCAGGTGCCGACTGGGCACAGTCCCACGGGCGAGTGGGCCCAGGGCTGGGGAGAGGCCTCTGTGACCCGTGCCCCTGTCCCCCTTCCCCCAGCACCACCTGAAGAAGCTGGAGGGCCGTCGCCTGGACTTCGACTACAAGAAGAAGCGGCAGGGCAAGATCCCCGATGAGGAGCTGCGCCAGGCCTCGGAGAAGTTCGAGGAGTCCAAGGAGGTGGCCGAGACCAGCATGCACAACCTGCTGGAGACCGACGTGCGTGCTGGGCGGGGCCGAGGGCTGAGGGTGGAGGGTTGGGGGGTCTTGGGAGCCAGGCCGGGCGCCCCTTAGCCCCGCTGCTCCCGCCCACAGGTGGAACAGGTAAGCCAGCTCTCCGCACTGGTGGACGCGCAGCTGGACTACCACCGGCAGGCCGTGCAGATCCTGGAGGAGCTGGCCGAGAAGCTCAAACGCCGGTAAGCGCCCCCTGGCGGCCAGCACAGCAGTATGGCGGGTGCTCAGAGTGGGCAGAAGATGCCGGGGCCCCAAGAGCTCAGAGGGACCAGGCCGCTCAGAGCCAGCAGTGACCCCAGGAGCCTCCCACTGCGTCACCCCAACTGAGCCAGCTCCCCAGCGACTAGATTCTGGGCCCTGTCCCCTGCCCTGCGCTGCTCACGCTGTGCCTGCTCCCCGCAGGGTCCGGGAGGCCTCCTCGCGCCCCAGGCGGGAGTACAAGCCCAAGCCCCGGGAACCCTACGACCTAGGAGAGCCCGAGCAGTCCAACGGGGGCTTCCCCTGCGCCCCAGCCCCCAAGGCCACAGGTATAGGGCGGGACACGGGGGTGGCCAAAGCCTCGATGCTCAGGGGAGGACTCTGGGCCCGGAGCCTGCGGTCAGCTGCCTCTGTTCTGATCACAAGCAGCTCCGTCGTCATCGTCTTTCCGATCTTCTGACAACAAGCCCATCCGGACGCCTAGCAGGAGTATGCGTGAGTGTCCCCAGGGGCCCCCATGTGGCCGTGGGACCTCCTGGGCCAGGGTTTCCTGCTTACGCCATCAGCTAGGGAGGAGCTGCAGGCCCCAAGGCCAGGAGCCTGTGGCTGCCCTGTCCGGAGGACACTGGTCACCCCAGGTCACCCCGTGGCCCCAGCCCCTCTGAGAGCCGCTTTGGAGCCTGCCGCAGCGGTGTAAAAGGGTTTCCCAGCCCTCGCTGCCCATGGCCCCGGCCGCGCCTCACACCCCCCCGCTGCCCCCAGCCCCTCTGGACCAGCCGAGCTGCAAGGCACTGTACGACTTTGAGCCCGAGAACGATGGTGAGCTGGGCTTCCACGAGGGCGACGTCATCACGCTCACCAACCAGATCGACGAGAACTGGTACGAGGGCATGCTGCACGGCCAGTCGGGCTTCTTCCCGCTCAGCTACGTGGAGGTGCTCGTGCCGCTGCCGCAGTGACCAGCGCTCGCGCAGGCCGGCCACAACCACACCAAGGTGCTCACGGAAACACTAACTTCCTCCCCCAGGGCCCGGCCTGGCCACTGCCGCTGCCGCCTTAGCGGGCACGGCTGACCCGGCCTGGCTGCCACCCTGGGGTTCTGACTCCTCCCAGCCCGTTGCTGGCGATGGGCCACAGCCCACAGGGGACCCCCAGCACATACGTCCCCTGCCCTGCCTGCACCTCACCCTCTCCTGGGCAGCCGGGGGCCCCCCAACCTCCAGCCTGCACCAGCCACCCCTATGGCCGCCAGCTCCCACCCCTGCGACACCACCAGCTGCAGGGACCACGGCCCGGCCTCTCCCCCAAAGTCATGCACAGGAGCTCTGAGAGCGAATGTCCCCAGGCTCCAGCTGCCAGCACCTCCCACAGCTGCAGTCAGCCCTGTCCCCTGGGACCCAGGCGGACTGGCAGGGTGCCCACACCATGGAACCCCCGCTGGCTTCTCCCTCTCCTATTCCAAAGGCCAGCAGCCTCGGGGCACTCGAGCTGGCCACCATGAAACATTCCCTCCACCAGGGACCCACACAGCCCCTGGCACCCAGGCTCTGCCCTGCCCCCACCCCGACTCCATCACACTGGGGTGCGTACCCCAGCCTGGCCTGCAGCCAGGGTGAACAGAAATGTACTCCTGACTTTTTTAAAAAGAAGTATTAAATGTGTCTTTCTACAGCCCTGGGCCTCATCGGTGCAGGGGGCCTCCCCAGGCTCCCGGGTGCCAGCTGGGGCCACCCCAGCACCTACACCCCAGACCCCACACCCCCAGGGTCTCCCAGGGACCCTCACCCACCCAAGTGACACACTGCCGGCTGCCCTGGACTCTTTATTATCAGAGCTGCTGGGTCACACAGGGTGGTGATGGCCACGGACAGCAGCCGCAGCCGCAGAGCCTCTGGCTGACCAGCCTCAGCCCGCCTGCTTGAGGACGCTGTACACCTGCTCCAGGACGTGGCCCAGCCCCTGGTCCTTGGGCGTCCTGCTGGCCAAGGAGATCTGGAAGGAGCAGGGCTGGGGTCGGGCTATGCCTGGGGGCCTGGCCCCCCTTCCTGACCCACCCCTGGGCTCCAGTGGAGCCAGCGAGCTGCTGTCAGAGGACATCAGGCAGGAAGTGAGCAGCTCCCTGTGTAAATCCCCAGGGCAGGGCCCCAGGCAGAGGGGCGAGCCCAGGACGGGACGTCCCGAGCAGTCAGGAGCTCTGGGCCTCCCAGGGGTGAGAGTAGGGGTCTTTGGCTCGCAGAGCCCAGCCCTGCCACCGGGCCGCATGCCCCAGTTTGCATTCCCCCCCCCCCCTCAGGCCCTGGGCATCTGGTGCCACCGGCTCACCTTGAGCTTGTCCAGATAGCTGTGCTCTGGGCTCCAGGCCTCCTGAAACCTCACGAGGTCAGGGGCCCCCTTGTAGAAGTCCACCAGCAGCATCTGCGCGACAGGATGTGGGCTCCTGGCTCCCTCCCCTCCCTGTAGCCCACAGTGGCCGGAGATCAAGTTCCACCAGCCAGGTGACATGGTAGAGCGCCCCCTAGATCTGCACGGTAACCCCAGGGCTTTGGCCCCTCACTGTAGCCTCAGCTCTCGGCAGGTAACAGCCCTGAGGCTGCCAGGCTCAGTGAACGAGTCCAGCCTTTTTGTTAGGGCTTTGATTTTTTGTTGGTTTTTGCGAGGTTTGAGGTAATTTCTTACTCCGTAGCCGAGGTTTCCCACCGACCTGTGACCCTCCTGCCTCAGCCTCCCAAGTGTTCCATCACACCCCGCCTCAGCTTTTGTTTCAGTTTTAAACGGCATGGCTGTTAAAGATGTCCAGGCCGCCTGCGGAATGCAGCTTGGTGGAGCACTGGCTTAACCTGCGAGAGACCCCAAGTTCCACCCCTGGCCCCTCAAAACCACAACAAAAAGAGAACTGCACAACTGGGTGTCATGGAAAGTCCCCCCCAACTCTGTGGAGGCTGGACAGTGATGGGAGCCCCAGGCCAGACCTCATCCAACAGCCAGGGGCCCCCCAGCCCCCAGCGCCTGGGGGGAGGACGCACCATCTCCTGCAGGACGTCCTTGGTCAGGAAGCTGTCCTGCATGCAGGCCATCTCCACGTCCATGGGGATGCCGTAGTCACTGGGCCTTTGCTGGAGGGATGGATGGGGGGGGGCTCAGAGACACTCAGGCCGCTGCCCAGTGGACCCCAGAACCAGTGTCCCCACCCCGCCCGGCACCCATGACAGCCCCCTACCTCGGGGGGTGGCATGACCCAGAAAGGTGCAATCTTGGACTCGGGGCCCGGGTTACCGGCGTAGTAGGGTGCTGGGGGCAGATAGCAAGAGCGGGCTGGGACCGGGGCCAGCTGCCCCCACCAGGCACCCCCCTCTGGCGCCCTGGGCCGCTCCTCACAGCAGAGCAGGGCGAGGCAGGGCTGAAAGCCATTGCTGGCTCCCTGCAGCCGCAGCTGGTAGTCCATCTGTGTGTCGATGTCCTGCAGTGAGGGCAGCGCCGGGCTGTGCGGGTGACTGTGGTACCAGCCCACCAGGGACAGACCCCGCAGGAACAGGCTCTGGTAGATCTGTAGACAGGATGTGCGTGACCTACAGGAGCCCCGCCGTGTGCCAGCCCAGCCCTGCTCTCACCACAGGGCCCCAGGACAGGGCAGCCCTGGCACCCGCCTGTCGTCTCAGCTACTGGGGGGGGCGGGGCTGCACGGGAGGAGAACAGGCCAGGCCAGGCTGGCAGCTCAGCAGGACCAGGGCCCAAAAGGTGACAAGCTGGCACCCTGAGTGCACCCATCGTCCCAGGACGCCAGGAACCAGAGGCAAGAGGGCTGCAAATTTGAGCCCAGCCTGAATGATTTAATAAGGCCTAACTTTAAAAAGGGAGGTAGGCAGCTCCATGGCAGTGCGTCCTGGGGTCAGTCCCAGGACTGGGAAGAGACACATGACCACGCATGGACTTGAGCAGGAAGGGATGTTCCCAGATGTCACAAGAGGAGGTGGAGATTACTTAGCACATGTCACTCCCTGGGCCTTTGAGGCCCCAGGCTGCCAGCGGGGCTGGCAGGGGCCCCGACAGGCACCACTCTCACTGCCAGGAAGCCCTGCCCCACCCCGTCCACCCAGGCCACCCCTCACCTCCTCCTCGGTGGCAGCTGCGGCCTCGGCATCCCCGAGCCGGCTCCGACAGGGGAAGGCCCTCAGCACCGTGAGCACTGTGCGGGGAGAAGCAGGCGTCCACCCTGGCCCCAGGCGCCCCGCCCGCCTGGCCCCAAATACCCACTCTGACTGTTGATGTCCCAGCGGCCCCCCAGGTAACCCACGACCTCACTCCGCGTCAGGTGGCTGTGGAAATCCTGAGTGGGGAGGGGAACACAGGCTCAGCCTCCTGCCCCGCACATGGCCCGCCCGCCTTCTCCTCCTTGGACACCTGTTCTTACCAATATTGAACACCTACTGCTTACTGCTAACATTTTTCTTCCCAAATCTATTTTATTTCAAGAACAACAACAACAAAAAATTCAAAACACATCAATCAGGGGGCAACAATGGCACAAACACTGGCATAAGGTTTTATGCCACATTTTGAGCCGTCACCGTCCCGAGTCCTTTACATTCCTGCGATCACCATGAGAAATCCTTGCTGAGTACCACAGACCCCTGAGTGCTTTTGGGTCATAATAAACGTGGTTTGAACGTGGTTCCTGGTCACACGGAAGGTTTTACCTGCATTTCCACTATCACTGCGAAGCCCCTTCCTTCCATCCCTGTCTCCCTGCTGAGTATCCCAGCCCAGGAGCCCACTGCCCACCCAGGGCTGAAGGACGAGCTGGCCCCTGGGTTACCTACCAGCAGAAACAGCACATTGCTGGAGACGGCTACATTGAAAGGCTGGAATTTGTTGATAGCCGAGAAGGAGGTCACTTCCACCAGGGTGTGGGGGCTCCTGCGGTGGGGGGCAGGAGGGTCACAGCCTCAGGAACCCCCAGATTCTTCCCTCACCCCCTCCACCAGCTCCCTGCCCCCTCCTTGCAGCTGTGGGGTTCTGAGGCTCAGGGATCACCCCGCCCTCGCTCCCTGACACCAAGCAAGGACCCCAAGAGGGTCAGGGGTGGAGCGGGCTCAGCGCGCATCTGACCTGGCAGAGTCACGACTGCCCAGCATGCAGTAGGGGACTGGCACCCGGATCTTACTCTCTGCCCGCTTCCCTGGGGGTGTGGCCTCTGGGGAGGGGACAGAGGGAAGAAAAGTAATGTCAGTCTCTCTCCCCAGCCCACTCAGTAGAGCAAAGGAGGGGGACTCAAGAAAAGGGAGGGGAAAATGTCCAGAGGCAGCCTTTTTAAAAAAAATAGTAAAGCAGTGAAACCAGGCATGGTGGCACAGCTTTAAATTCCAGCACTGGGGAGGCTGAGACAGGAGGATCTCGAATATGTATGTGGTACATAATGAGCTCAAAACCACTCTGAGGGGCTGGAGATTTAGCTCAGCAGCATAAGAGCCTGCCTTGCAAGCAGGCAGTCATGAGTTTGATCCCTGGTACCGATAAAAAGGAAAAAGACCAAAAAAAAAAAAAAAGAATTTTGCTGGGGATTTAGCTCAGCGGCATAAGCTCCTGCCTTGCAAGCAGGCAGCCGTGAGTTCGATCCCTGGTACCGGTAAAAAAGGAAAAAGACAAAACAACAACAACAACAACAACAACAACAACAACAACAAAAAACCACTCTGAACTGCGTATCAAGTCCCTGTCTTAAAAATAACAATCTGGCAATGCGACCAGGACTTCATCCTCAGAACAGCCAGAGGGAGGAAAACAAGCAGTGCAAATGGGGAGCCTGGCAGGCACCGGAGGGGCAGCAGGGCAGATCAGGGCACCACTTTTGCCAGCCTCCTCCTGCCTCACCCTCACCCCTCACCCGGGTGCGCAGTCTCCGTGGGACCCTTCCCAGGGGGTCTCCGACTCTTGTCCTCCGCTGAGACCCCCCCCAGCACCTCCTCCTCATCTTCCTCCATCAGCAGCTCCTCCTCTTCCGCTTCGCTGGCTGGACTCTGGTGGGGCGGGGGCAGCACAGAGCCTCAGCGGTGGGGGGCAGACCCCTCTCGCCCCCCACCTTCCTTCCAGGCTGCAGGGATGATTGGAACAACTTCCCACTGTCCCGCAGCTGTGCCTCCCGAGGTGACTTCTTTGGATCTAAATCCGCCCCTGTCCACTGTCTGAGCAGTGTCCAGACCCGCAGGTGCCCTCTCATCCACCTCTCCAGCTTGCCCCTCTCTTGATCCCGGGCCTGGGCCCTCAGGTCTCTTCCACCCACGCCCTCACTGCTTGTTTTCCCCGAAGCAGCCGCAAGAGGGCGCCATGAGCACAGTCAGGTCCCTTCAGCGTCTGTTTTCAGACCTCCAGGGCTTTCACCTCCCTGAGACCAAAGCCCAAGTCCACCCTGCAGCCCATTCCTCTCCCCTGTTCCTAATCCCCCTGCTCCCTCTGCTTCAGCCACACAACTTCCTCGCTGCTGCTGCTGTGCACTGAGCTCCATCCTGCCCCGGGGCCTTTGCACATGAGCTGTTTGCTGCCCCAGAGTCTTTGCATGAGCTGTTTCCTCCCCTCCTGCAGTTCTCTACTCAGCTATAACCTACTTTCTGGCCCAGTCCGGGAGGCAGTGTCCAGCTCTGCACCCCTAATTGAACAGTGAATGGGGGAAGACAAACCTCATCAGCAACCACTATGGGGATGTGCAGCTGGTGTCGTCGCAGCCAGGCAGCTTTATACTTGTCCAGTTTCTGGCCCTTGTACTTGACGGAGGCCCAGCCGCAGCCAGACTTCTTGGCTGGGTTGACCAGCTTCTTGCAGTGGGTGGCCCAGGCACTGGGGGAGTTGAACGCCTGCCCGGTTTCTTGCCACACGATCCTCCCATCCGGCTGCAGGTCTCCAATGAACTTCTTCCCCTAAGGGTGGGGACGGGGTCTGTCTTGATTCCTGCTGGGAACTCAACACCAAGTACCCAGCCTTGCAGACAGCAGGTGCCTAGGTCAAATGCTAAGTAAATAATCAGCGGGGTGTGGTGGAACAGACCTGCCATCTCAGCACTCTGGGAGGCTGAGGCAGGAGGACTGCAAGTCCAAGGCCAGCATGGGCAAGTTATCAAAACCCTGTCTCAAAAAAACTGATGGTAATGATTAATAATAATAATACACCCTATATCACAGCTCTTTCTGGGAAATGGCTGCCTGCTGAATCTGGTTCATTTAATGCTTGTGCAAGGGTCCTGGGAAGAAAAATATCTCATTTTACAGATGTGATAACTACTGACACCTGAGCCTGGCACATCTGGGTCACCACCTGGCCCTACGCGGGTGGGGCCCTGTTTCTTTGCCTCAGTTTCTCTTTTGTGAAATGTGTGTTCTTGTGTTGGTACTGGGCACTGAACCAAGGTACTACACCCCCAGGCCTTTGAAGAAGTTTACTTTGAGACAGGGTCTGGCTAGGTCACTAAGCTGCCACGCTGGGCTCAAGTCTGAGGTCCTCCTCCTCGGCCCCTCGGAGTGCTGGGCGACAGGCGCGGACCATCCAAGACGCTGGCATGCAGCACTCTGGGGAACCCAGGAGACCTCCGTGCAGCCTGGATATTCCGTGCCTCAGTTTCTCCTCCTCATGTAGGGGCTCATTCTGCAACAAGAGCCGCGGGGCTCGGTTTCCCTCTGGCCTGAACCCGATGGGGTGCGCAGCGCTCGCTCACCAGGTAGTAGATGGACAGCACGCCGGCGCCGGGCTCCAGCAGCGCGTCCTTGAGCAGCACCCGCAGCGTGACCGCGCGCCGCGTGAGCGCGCCTCCCAGCGGGCCGCAGACCCCGGGCGCGGCCCCGCCGACCCCGCCACATCCGCCGCTGCCCCCTGCGCCTCCGCCTCCCGCGCAGCGTCCTCCGCCCGCGCCCGCCAGCGGCCGCTCGGGCTCCTCGGCCTCCGCCTCCTCCTCGTCCTCTTCTGGGGCCTCGTCGCCCGCGCCGCCCGCAGGGGACAGCGGCTCAGGGGCTGCGGGGACGCCGCCAGGCTGCAGCGGGCCGCGCAGGTCCCCGGGCCCCGCACCCCGCGCCCCACTCCCCGCGGGCCCCGCACCCGCCATGGCCGCCGCGCCCCGCGCGTCCCTCGGCCACGTGACCCGGCCCCGCCCCGCAGGGACACCCCAGCTCTCGCCGGCCGCCGCCGGGGGGCGCAGGGGGACTGAGAGCGGAGGCCCGGGCTGCGCACGCGCGCGCGCTCCTGCGGGACCCACCGAGCAGCGGCTGGAGGGTGCTGGGGACTCGGAGCGGGAAACTGAGGCCCGAGACCTCCGCTCCTGAGGATCTCTAGGCTCCACCTCCGGGCCGCCTCCTACTGAACTGCAGCCGGGGATCGGGACGAGAGGACTCAGCCTGCAGGAATGAGCGGGAAACTGAGGCAGCGAGCCCGCGCACGCGTGGGAAAGGGAAGCCGGGAACTCAGTCTTCAGACACCAATCGGGAAACAGGCTGGAGGATGATGGGGGACCTGGATGAGGAAACTGAAGCCCAGACATCTGGTTTTCCGGGTCTGGTGGCACCACCCGAGACCACTTGTTAGTGGTTTGCAGCCGGCAGCTGGGGACTCGAGAGTGAAGGGCGTGGGGAATCTAAAGCGCGTGTGTCACAAGGCTCGGCCCTTGGTATCAGGGAGAAACTGCGGTCCTGGGGAGAGGACCGTGCAGCCGTGGAAAAGCATCCCTGAGAGCGGTGTCTAAAGTGCCCTGGCTTGGCTCCAGCCTCTAAGGGTTATTTTTTTGTTTTTGCTTTTTTGAGACAGGGTCTCGCAGTGTCGTTCAGACTGGCCTTGAACTCACTAGTCCCGGCTGGCCTCGAATTTACAGGGATCCTCCAGCCTCAACCGCCTGAGCGCTGATGGTTAGAGCACCTACACCCGGCTCTAAAGGGTTAATATAGCCCCATTCGATAAATCCCCGTAATTGCCCGAAAGAACCTACTAACCAATTAGCTTTCAACCTTTAACCAATCGGGACAGCACGCGGGTTCACGCTCAGCCAATCAGTATTAAACGGCCGGTTCTGCCGGATTCAGAATCAGCCAATAGACAATCGTTCATATTAGCCAGTCATCAGGAGTCTCCCGGACCCCCAGGCATCCAATCAAATTCAGGAGTTGGTCTTAACCAACCAATAAGCTCCCGATGAAGATTTATCCTGCGGTCCCGCTTGCGGGCAGAAAGGGGGAGGGGCCAGGTGTCTCCTGCACCAGGACCTCGCCGCTCGACCTTTGTCCCTGGCTGCTGTCCCCAGCCTCTGTCCGGGGCTCTGTCCCGAGACTCCCCCAGTGGCCAGTATCCCGCTGACCTGAAACCCTGGGCGGGTACATCCCAGGATTGAGACAGGACAAGGGCCGTCCTCCAACGAGGGTGGGGTTTGTCCAGACCAGTCAGTGGAAAAGAAGGGGGCAGGATTATCAGAGGTGCAGAGGCCCTAATTTGTTTTTGTTTTTGTTTTTTTCCAGTACTGGGATTAAACTAGGGCCTTCCACTCAGCCCTTTCTTAGCTTTGCTGGTTGGTTAGCTGGCTTTTTGAGACAAGGTCACCCTGTTAGATCAAGCTGGCCTCCCCCTCACGGAAATTCTCCTGCCTCAACGTCCCAGAGTGCGCGTTTACAGTGCTGTGGACCTTGCTGTCCAGTTAAACTGGCCACAGGGAATTTCCTCCACAGCCTCCTTAACTTTGGTTTCCCGTGTTACAAACCTTCAGCCAGAACTCAGCTCTTTGTACCCTGGCTCCCAGCCCACACTCACCCCGTCCTGTCTCTCACCCTGGCCCAAAGGAATCTCCCTAACGCTTGCCAGGCAGGTACTCGTGCTGCTGGGATAAGCCCCTGGTCCTGTCTTGAGCTTTATTAGATTTAACGGATGAATAAATTGCCCTGAGCCAGGCATGAATGAAAATGCTTGTTATCCCAGGACGCTGGGAGGCTGAGGCAGGAGGATCAGAAATCTCTGTGTGTGTGTGTGTGTGTGTGTGTGTGTGTGTGGAGAGACAGAGGGCGCTCTGGATGTAGCTCGGAAGGCTTTGTGTTCAGTCCTTTGTGCCCGCGCGCACACACACACACAATCAAATGTCCCCAAATCCATGTAGAAGCCTAGAGCCCTTTGTGTTGAAATCCCAGGGCCACGTCTTTGAGATACCACCTCATTCTCACATATACACGGCACTCAAAGCCTCCATGTTATGCTGTGTGTGCGTGCGTGTGTGTGTGTGTGTGTGTGTGTGTGTGTGTGTGCGCTTTAAATCTGTCCTGTGCCACCTCCCTGCAACGCCAGCCCTCCGGGACAGGGACGGGGATTTCCCAAGGAGCCCTGGACCTGCCCTGGCCCAGCGCCCGCCCAGTGCTGGCAGGGGAGGGAGGTGACGGCTGACAGCAAGAGGAAATTCCCCTGGAACCTGCTTCTCAGTTTCCTGGCTCTACTGGGAGACGGCTGGAAAGAGGCCGGCCTGAGACCCCGGTGGCCATGGCTTCGGCCCCGAACCCACCGCGGGTCCCCAAGCCCAAGGCAACCCAGCCTTCACACTATCACGAGAGCTTTCTGGAGAAAAAGGGGCCCAGCGACCCGGTAAGGTGGGGAGGGAGCCTGGCACTGCTGGGCAGCGCTGGCAGCTGTGCTCCTTCTGGGCCTCAGTTTCCCTCTGGCCTGGGAGGTCGGGGAAGTGCAGAGTGGGCAGCGGAGGACTCTGCCGTCTGTCTGTCTCTGTCTGTGTCTCTGCCTCTCCCGCTGTGATCCCTTCCACAGCCTCCGGCCCTCTCTGTGTCTCCCTGCTCTGTCTTCACCCGTTTCCATCTCTTGGGTAGAAGGGAGACTGGGGGCCCCCTCAGGCAGCCAGACGCCCCCGACCCCACGCCTCCTTCTCCTCCTCCCAGTCCAGAATTAATCCCGAGAATCTGAGTGGCCGAGTGAACCTCAGAACTGGTGTCAGGTGGGCACCCTGAAACCTAACGAGGCCACATTTCGCCAGGCCAGATATTGACAGTGCCACCAATGTACGGTAACATGGGGTGACATGGGCGTGCGGGCCTGCGATCAAGGACTCAGGGCTGATCGAGATAGCACAGGCCTGTAAGCCCTCTCGCCCTTGAGGCTGAGGCAGAAAGATTTCGAGTTTGAGCCCAACCTGGACAATTAAGTGACTTAGCAAGACCGTGTCTCATAATAAAAATAAAAAGGGCTGGGGATGGAGCTCAGTGTGAGGCCCCTGTCCCCAGAAGCACAAAAAGTGGGGAGGGGCTGGATCCTAGCTGGAATAAACCTGGTGTCGCGGTCAGGCACCTTCCTGCAGCTGGGGGGCAGTGCAAGAGCACAGCGCACTATGTCCTGTGTGTTTCTGGTTTGCTGGGGAAACTGAGCACGCTGCCATCATGGTAGTCAGGGCTCAGATGGCTGCTGTCTCGCCCAGCCGAGTCCATGCCCATGATGGGCTTGGTCCTCTATTGGTCTATCCCCAGGGTCTGGAGAGGGCCTCCCCGTGGCTGCCCTGCAGAAACGGTTAGGCAGATGCATGGGTGGCCCTGTGGGGATGGTTAGGTGGTTTCTGGATCACTGGGTAGGTGATTGGATGGGTGGGTGGATGGATGGGTGGATGGATGGTGGATGGATGGGTGGATGGGTGGATGGATGGTGGATGGATGGGTGGATGGATGGGTGGATGGATGGGTGGATGGATGGGTGGGTGGATGGATGGGTGGATGGATGTGTGGATGGATGGGTGGGTGGATGGGTGGGTGGATGGATGGGTGGGTGGGTGGATGGATGGATGGATGGGTGGATGGATGGGTGGATGGATGGGTGGATGGATGGGTGGGTGGATGGATGGGTGGATGGATGTGTGGATGGATGGGTGGGTGGATGGGTGGGTGGATGGATGGGTGGGTGGGTGGATGGATGGATGGATGGGTGGGTGGATGGGTGGATGGATGGGTGGGTGGATGGATGGATGGGTGGATGGGTGGATGGATGGGTGGATGGGTGGGTGGATGGATGGATGGATGGGTGGATGGATGTGTGGATGGATGGGTGGGTGGATGGGTGGGTGGATGGATGGGTGGATGGATGGTGGATGGATGGGTGGATGGATGGATGGATGGGTGGATGGATGGGTGGGTGGATGGATGGATGGGTGGATGGATGGATGGATGGATGGATGGGTGGATGGATAGGTGGATGGATGGATGAATGGGTGGATGGATGGGTGAATGGGTGGATGGATGGGTGAATGGGTGGATGGATGGGTGGGTGGATGGATGGATGGATGGGTGGGTGGATGGATGGATAGATGGATGGATAGGTGGATGGATGGGTGGGTGGATGGATGGGTGGATGGATGAGTGGACAGGTGGGTGGACTGAGGACACCATTATAAGCCAACTCTTTTAGCCTCCATCTTCATAAATTGTGGGGCTGCTCTGGGTCCCTTTATCCCATCACAATGTCTTTCCTTTGTTTCTCTCTTTCTCTTTTCCTCACCTCCTTCCTCTTTCTTTTTTTCTTAGTAATACTGAGGGTTGAACCCAGTGCCTTTGCGCTGAGCTACAAAATCTTACTTTGAAACAAAGACAGACTACATCATTAAGTTGCACAGGTTGGACTTGAACTTGCAATCCTCCTGCTTCAGCCTCCCAGAGTGCTGGGATGATAGGAATGCACTACCACACCTGGCTCACTTTTTCTTTGGTGATGCTGGATTGGAGCCAGGGCTTTGTGCATGCTAGGTAAATGCACATTCACTGAGTCACATCTCTAGCCCCAGGATCCTTTTTGTCCTTTTTCTGAAGGCCTGTGAAAGCTGGGCCATTGGTGGGGAGCTCCTTCCCAAACAGGTAACATTAGAGGAAAAACCCAAAGCTGGTATTGAAGTTAGCTCTGTGAAGACCTAGGGTCCAGGCCCAGGAAGGCAGTGCAAAGGTCCTGGGGCAGGAGTGAACATACCAGAAGTGCCCAGCTTTGCCAGCTTACCTGCTTCTCTTTCTACCTTTGATCCCCAGGATTATAGGAAGTTCTGGGCAGGCCTCCAGGGCCTCACCATCTATTTCTACAACAATAACCGGGATGTCCAGGTTCGTACAGGGATGGGGGCTCAGGACCTGGCCCATCATGAGCACAGGGCCATGCTGAGGATGTGGGTGGTAGGCCAGGCAGAGGCTACCTCATCCCAGTGGCCTGAGAGCCACTGGCCTGGTGCTCAGACCCCCATCTGTGCTCAGCCCCTGGAGAAGCTCGATTTGAGAACATTTGTGAAGCTCACAGATGAGGCTCCCCAGGGAAGCACGTGGGATGCCGGCCTCCACTTCAGCCTGGTCCTCAGGGATCAAGAAATCAAGTTTAAGGTGGGTTTGGCAGAGGAGCAATCTCTGCTGTCAACACACTCCATAAATATGGAGTCATATAGACTCCCGCCCTGGGTCAGTGACACTGCACAGGCAGGCTGATCAAGCTCTCTGAGCTCGAGTCTCTGTGATTGGGCTCTGCCGTAGAGATCACAGCCGTGAAAAGGCCCTGGGGCAGCGCAGAGCCCTGCCTGCATTGCAGGAGCAGTGCGGAGGACCTGTGGCTGGAGCAGGCTCACGCAGGGCCCTGTGGACTGCAGAGAAGACTTGTCCCACGAATCCCACAGAGCACCAGAGGCACATCATCTCATTCATATTTTACAAATATTACTTTAATAATATTAACATTAAAAAAATCATCCCCGGGGCTGGAGGTTTAGCTCAGTGGCATAAGCACCTGCCTTGCAAGCAGGCAGTTGTGAGTTCGATCCCCGGTACCGATAAAAAGGAAAAAAAAAAAAAAACCATCCCCAGTTCCCGAGGGCTCATACATAGACATCACCCCATTTCACAGATGACTAGACTGAGTCTCGCCCATGAAGTGTCTTTCTTTTCTTCTGTAGGCAGAGAGCCTGGAGTCTCGGGAGATGTGGAAAGGCTTCATCCTGACTGTGGTGGAGGTGAGTGTATCCACCCTCTGTTCCTCCCTCCCTTCCCTTTTCATTCCCTGAAAGAGTTCCTAGGGTACAGCAAAATGGGCTCAAACTTTGGGCCCATGACCCAAATATAGTTTTTTCTGTAAACATCTTTTGTTTCTTTTAAAAAGACTGGTAAGCCGGGTGAGGTGGCTTACACCTCGGGAGGCTGAGGCAGGAGGATCGTTGCGAATTCGAGACCAGCCTGGGCTACAAAGTGAGCTCAAGGCCAGCCTGAGCTGCCTAGGAGACCCTGTCTCAAAAACAAAATAAAATATAAAATAAAATACTGCTAAAATGTTTAGCTGTCACCACTCCCAAACCAGGAAAGCCAGTCCCCGCTCCTGATTTGTCTTCGGCTTGAGTTTTCCGCACAGCTCTCGCAGGCCACTGTGTTTGGGACCCGCTGGCCCCAGCCCAGTGTGAGACCTAGGTCCAGGTCCAGCTCATCCCTCTCCCGCGCTCTCACCCTCCACGACCCGCGTGCCCCTCGGGGACCAGCAGCGCTTCTGGGCCCACGCTGAGCCGCCTGCCCGCTCTGTGACCTGGGCCCAGAGACCCGCTGACTCACGGGCTGCCCCGTCGCTGTGCCTCGATCGCCCCTCAGCTCTGTGTCCCGTCCAACCTGACCCTGCTGCCCGGTCACCTGTACATGATGGCCGAGATCCTGGCCAAGGAGGAGGCGCGCCGCGCGGGGGAGCTGCCCTCGTGAGTCAGAAGCGTGCTGGGGGCGTGGTTTCCTATGGGGCGTGGCTTTGTCCCGGGCGTGGTTGCGTAGTGGGGCGTGGCTTGGTCCGGGGGCGGGGTCTGACTCTGGGAGGGCGGGGTCTGACTCTGGGAGGGCGGGGTCTGCCCCTGGGTGGGCGTGGTCTTCCAGAGAAGTCCAGGTGTCTGAGGACCGGGCAGACCCTGGGGTGAGAGTCGGGTCTAAGTGTTTGGAGGGGGACAGTCTCTGACAATTGAGATGCCCAAAGGTGTGTCTGACCCTCCCCTGGGACCAGGGGTTAGGCTGATCTATGGGTTCAGAAAATGGGCCTGGATGGGGGGGACAGATGTGGGTCCGGAGAAGGGGCTGGGTCTGGAGGTCAGGTCTTGGGGTTCAGGGAATGATGACGCCAGTCCCAAGGGGCTGGGTTGTGTGACGTGACCCGGGCCTTTCCCGGTGCGTGACTTGCCTGCGCTCCCCAGGTGCTTCCTGAAGGTGAACCGGGTGGACGCTCAGCTCCTCCTGGAGCGCTACCCCGAGTGCGGCAACCTCTTGCTTCGGCCCAGCGGGACCGGCGCGGACCACGTATCGGTCACCACGCGACAGGTGTTCTGCGGGTGCGCATGCGCGGCTCCAGAGACTACCCCCCCCATATTCGCATGGGGCGTGGCCAGAGTTCGGTTCCGTAGCATCGGGATGCGGCCCTCGCCTAGCGATGGATGTCAATGCCTAGGGGAGACCTGGAACTCAGTCGGGGCTGCAGATCCTTTTGGGCAAGGGTCACGGCTGGGGCAGGGCTGGGGACTCTGCAGGCAGAGTGCTAGGGTCAGTTCAGGTAAGGTGGGGATGGAGTCTGGCCCTTGGGGACAGTCACAAAGTCAGTCAAATCCAAGAATGGAAATTAAACCCTTTGGGTGGGGAGTCAGGACCCGGGGGGTCAGGACTGGAAGTGCGGGGTCCTCGGTCATTGCATCAACTTCTGGTCAAGAAGCCCACCACTAAAGCCTCTGCGCATCCTCTAATTAGGGCCAGGGGCGGAGCGAGGGCGGAATCGCACCCCAGGGGCGGAGCCGACGAAGGCGGAGGGTCGCTGGGGATGCAGTCAGTTGACCTGCTCCGTGCTGGGAGCAGAATAGGGGTCTCATTTGGGGCTGGTCACTGTGGGGTCCCAGTCTTCCTGGGGGTGGGGAAACCAGGGGCGTGGCCTTCATTGGGGGCGGACCGATTTGGTCTGGCCCTTCTTGGGGGCGGAGCTAGGACCGGTGGGCGGGGACCAGGTCTCCATGGGGTGCCGCAGGGCTAGGGATGGGGCCTTCCCTCCTGGAATGTGATCCTGAGTCCAGTCCTTGAACAGGAAGCCGATTGTCCGGCACTACAAGGTCAAGCGCGAAGGCTCTAAGTACGTGATCGATGTGGAGGACTCGGTAAGCCCCGGGCTTGGGGTTGGATCCCCATCAGTGCCGCAGCGGGGGGGGGGTCCTTTTCCCCAGCATCACTGAGCCTGCCCCCGCCCCGTGCCGCCTCCCCCAGTTCTCCTGCGCCTCTCTGGATGCAGTGGTCGACTATTTCGTGTCACACACCAAGGGGGCGCTGGTGCCCTTCCTGCTGGACGACGACTACCAGAAGGTGCTAGGTGGGTGCGGCTTCGGGGAGCCTGGGGGCTGGGCGTCCGCACCTCTCCGCTCCCAGGGACACCCCCAGGCCTCCCCTGGCCCGGCCGCCGCGCCTGCCCCAGGCAGCCCTCTGTGTTCCAGGCTACGTGGAAGCAGATACTGAGAACGGCGAGAGTGTGTGGGTGGTGGCCTCCGCCCCGGGCCCAGGTGACGCCCCCTCCCTCCCCACCTGGGCCCGGAGGGAGGACACACACACACACACACACACACACACACACACACACACGCCCCAGGGCGTGGTCGCTGTGCCCCGTCCGTACCCAGACCTAGCCTTGGGGAGGTTCCTAGATTGGGGGAGAGCCCAGAGCCAGCTACAGACACGGGCTGGGGGTCCAATCCAGGGTGGAGGAGGATGCAGGGCTGCAGGAAGGGGCCCCTGGAGTAGGGCAGGCAGGGGGCAGAGCAGGGCGGGCGTTCTGGAGGGGGCGTGGGTTTGGAAGGTCCTGAAGAATCTCACTGGGTATCCACAGGCAGATTCCCCAGCCCTGGAGATTCCGGGAGGGCGCTGGGAAAGAGTTGCAAATCCAGTGGGTCCAGGGTGTGCACTGAGGGGCGGGGACACAGAGGGACACCTGTAGATGGGCAGCCGGGTCCTCACGCGCTGGGCACCCAAGAGTGGACTGGGTTTGTACGACACAAACACACACGTGTGTGCTCTATGAATGTTGAACAGGCCTGTGTAAGCGGAGGCCTCTCTTGCATATGTAACCGCAAGGTTCACAAGTGTCCTGCATCCCAGTCACGCCTGTGCTCAGCGATCACAAACGCATCCTCATCAGCCAGGACTGCGCACCCGTGCTGAGGGCAGAGGTCCACAGACACCGCTGGGTTGTACCCACACACCCCACCCGAGCAGGGCGCAGCAGGCAGGCTGCGCCTGCAAGCCCGTGTGCTTTTTCCGGGCAATGCTTTTCCTTTTGCTTTGAGGCGGGGGTCTCACTCAGTAATGCAGGCTCACACTGTAGCCCAGGCCAGCCTCGAACTCATAGCGAGCCTCCTGCCTCAGCTTCCCAAGTGCTAGGATTATAGTATATTTAACCCAAATCCAACCAGGATGCCTGTCTACACCACCGAAAGTACAGATTCCTCACTGGGGACACTGGCAGAAGGACACCCACAGAGACACTCAGACGTATCCTTGCCTCCACTCGGAAACCCCCTCGAGGTGTCCCTGCACCATACAGCCCTGACTACGACCTCCTCTGCCCACCAGGTCCCGCACCCCCCACCGATGGCCCCAAGCCTCCACCGCCTGTGTCCAGCCAGAACAAGCCCCCCCTTCCTCCCCTGGCCGCTCCACCGAGCCAAGAAGAGAATTACAATTACGTGACTCCCATCGGGGACCCCCCGACTCCCGACTACGAGAACCAAGAGGGTGGGTAGGGGACGGCCTCCGTCACAAGGTGGGTGTGGCAGCTGCCAGCCCTATGGGACACCCCATGGCATCTTTGTCCACAGTGATTCTCTCCAGGCGGCTGATTGCCATGAAGCCCAAGAAGGTGGCCGAGCACCCCGCCAAGCCCCTGAAGCCACCCATCCTGCCCCGGCCAGGTAGGACGCCCTCCCTCGGGCCTCCTTCTGTCCCTGGCCAGTGGCCTTGGCTGTGATCGCCTTCCCTTCCAGATCTCAGAGGCCACACTGGCATCCCAGCCAGGAAGCCACCAGGAAGCTCATGCCAAGCTTTGTTCCCCACAACCAGTAAGTGGCCAGGGAGGGAGATGCGGGGTGGGCATAAGACATGTGAGACCCGCGGGGTCACCTGCTCCCCAGGCTACCTGGGAAACTCCCAGGGCCTCTAGGCACCTTTCCCTTCTGCCTCGGGGTCCTGGGTGGATCTGGGGCGGGGCACAGGCACGGGAACCTCTGACCCAGCTAGAGTGGGGGGCCTGGGGGCGGGGCACAGGCAGGGGGACCCCGGACCCAGCTGGACTGTCCAGTTTGCTCCTCAGGGCTGGGGGATGTGACGGCAGAGCTGGAGGAGAAGCTGCAGAGGCGGCGGCGGGCACTGGAGCAGTGAGTGGACCCCAGGGCACCAGCCAGCCAGTCTCGGGGACAGATCTGCTCGGGATTAAAATTCAAATGACCTCTAGGCTCACGTGTTTGATTTGGCCTGAGAGGCTGGGGGTGAGGGGTTCACTGATGGGCCCCATTTATCCCCAGAGAGCTCAGATTTTCTTTTTTTGAGACAGGGTCTCGCTACGCGGTTCAGGCTGGCCTTGAGCTCACTTTGCAGTCCAGGCTGGTCTCGAACTGGCAGTGATCTTCCTGCCTCAGCCTTCCAGATGCTGGAGGAAAAGCTCTGACAGCTGGCAAGGCTGAGGTCCCCAGGCCCACAGGGACTGTGCCCCCGTCCCCCAAGGAACCAGCACTGCAGCCTAGCCAGTGTTTGACCTTTATTAGGAAGTGAGGTGAGAGGGGACCCCATGCCTCAGTGGTGACCCCCTCTCATTCACAAATTAAGGCTCCAAGCAGCAGGACTAGAGGGCAGTGCCTGTGACCCCAAACACACCCTGCTGGCCGGCAGCCCGGTGGCCTAGCTGAGGCTGGTGTTGGAGCTGCTGGTGGCACTTCCTCGCTTCTGCAGGCAGCGCACAGAGCTGGGCACCTGCAGGCCTGTGGTCACGTGGAAGCTGCCACACCACACCTGGGAGGAGGGGGAGGCTCAGCCCATGCCGCAGAGCCCAGCCCCCACTCCCGTCCCCAGGCTGCGGGAGGCCTACCGTGAAGGCGGGCAGCAGCGGCTGCGTGAACTTGGCCTTGAACGTGTGCAGCAGCTGTTTGGTGCGGGCATTGTAGAAGGACAGGAGGCCTGTGGTGGCGGAGGACACGGGGTCAGAGGAGTCGGGAGGGGACCCCGACATCGGCGGGGCAGGGAGGGCAGAGGTGGCCAAGTCGCGCGTCACCTTGGTGGAAGTCACAGTGCACGCCCAGGCAGTCGGGCACGGGGGCGTCCAGCACCTTGACCTTGTTGGCGTGCTTGGCCGTGAAGCTGACCTGCAGCCAGTTGTTCACGTGCAGGCACCAGGAGGCCGCGGTCTTGCCCAGCTGCTCGAAGCGGCCCAGGCTGCGGTAGGCCACGCCCACACCGAAGGCCTTGCTGTCTGGCTCATAGCGGACCTCCCAGTAATGGTCACCACCATCGATGAGCGTGTCCCCTGGGGGCCAGGGCAGACGGGTCAGACGGTCTGCAGCCCCAGCTGTTCCCTTGGGGACTCCTCGTGCCCCAGCTACTCCTTGGATTCCAGCTACTCTCTGCTCCTGTCTCCAGCTACTCTTTAGATTCCAGCTACTCCAGCCAGGTACTCCTCAGACCCCAGCTACTCTCCCTGGTGCTCCCGGGGCTCCAGCTAATCCTCAGGGATCCCAAGGACTCACTCTGGGTACTCTTTGGGCTCTAATTGCTCCTGTCAGTGCTTCTTGGGCCCTAGCTACTCCCCAGGCTGTATCAGCTCACTTTAGCCACTAAGCCCGGATACTCCCTAAGCCTCAGCTTCTCCTCTAATTCTGTGCACGCCAAGCTACTTCCTGGAAATACTTCCAAGGTGTAGGGTCCCTCTCTGGATGGCCCTCGGCACTTTCCAGACATGTCCCCAAATTCTTGCCCCTGGCAGAAGCCGCGTTCCCAGAGGTCTTGAGTCCTGCCTAGGTACACTCTCTGATCTCCGGGTTATGACAGAGCCCACCACACACCAGGGCCCAGGGAGTCCTGGCTGCTGTTTGTGGTCTGAATCCCGAGCCACCTGGACCCCGACTCCTGGTGGAGGTCAGATTTTCCTGTCTCAGCTACTTCCCGAGCACCCTTCAGGCTTCACGTGCCCTCCCAGGTACCCTCGGAGCTGTGCCACTTCTTCTGGCATCAACTCTACTGCGACCTCAGGCTGGCCTTGAACTCACTATGTAGCTCTCCCACTGGCCTCAAATTCACGGAGATCCTCCTGCCTCAGCCTCCCAAGTCCTGGGATTGTCCCCGCCTCCTCCAACTCTCCCAGCCCTGGAAAATCCAGGCCATAAATAACAACCACAACGTCCTCCCAGGCCCTGGCTTACCCTCACACCTGCTCCTGCCCGCTTCCTGCCGTGCTGATGTGCTGACACTGCGGCCCACGCTGACTCCTGACCCTCAGCCTCTGCCTCCCACTCTTTCCTGGACACTGACGATTCTCCCACACTCCAGTTCCTCCGCAGACCCCGCTCTCCTTTGCAGGACTGAACGGTTCTCATGATGCTCCTTTCTGCTCGCACCCGAGCCTCTCAGCTTCTCCTCACACACAGCTGCTCCTGTCTGGCTCCTCCACCCATTCTCAGCTACTTCCCCAAACTTCTGTAATTTGTTTTTTTGGTGGTGGTACTGGGGATTGAACTCAGGGCCTTTGCACTGAACTACAATCTCAAGTCTTTTTAAAAGAAATCTGTAGGCAGGGCCTTGCTACGTCATCACTACGTTCTGCATGCTGGGCTCAAACTCGTGACCCTTCCGCTGCCGCGCTCCCTCCCACCCTCTGGCACCAGGCTGCTTCACAATCGCAGCTGCTCACGGCTAACATTCTTCTAGCTACTCCCCAAATCTCAGCTTCTCCACAGACCAGGAGACCCACCTGTCCTCTCCTGCCCTCTCCCACTCACCCATCGAGTCTGGCTCCCTGCACTGGTGGCTCACCCCTAAATACTCCCGTCCTCCCAGGGCAGGGGAAATACATGGGGCCACTCCCACAGAAGCGCGGGGACAGTGGGGCTCCTGTCTCCCCAGGCCTCCCCGCTGAGGCCTGCCCAGAAATCCCTTCTCCCGCTCCTCTCCATCCTTACCCAGCACTGTGTAGGACTCGGCTGTGAACCGATCCCGTCCCCCACGACCTGAGGGCATCCTCTTGGGAGACGGAGTACCTCTGTGGGCAGCAGGGAGGGGGAGACTCAGTTCAGGCCTCTCCTCCACCTAGGAGGGCCTCCTTGGTCTATCCCAACCACTGTTGATATATGAGAATATATACTTAGCTTTTCTGTATATCATACCCTTCATAGTCAGGTCTGGAAAACTCTTATTAACCCTCAAAACCCTGCCCAAAAAGTCCTCTTCCCCTCATTCACTCAGGGTTCCTCCCTCTACCCCGGGGGCAGGCTACCTGGCTGGGGAGTTGACGGGAGATGCCGTCCGCCCTTTGCCATCTTTCTCTCGAGCCTTGATGTCCTGCACCTTCCCGCCCATGGCGTCCCACTCCACAGCAAGGTCATCTACTCGCAGGTTCTGGTGAGATGTGGACGCATCCAGGCGGAACATGAACGCTGGGGCCGGGCAGACGGGGGAGGCACAGAGATGGGAAAATCGAGAGAGACACAGAGAGAGAGAGAGACAGACAAAGATGGGGACCGAGAACAGGGAGACACAAGAAGCCATAGAGAAAGACAGGGACAGGCGACAGAAGATGGGGGGCTTGGAGAGAAAGACAGGCAGGAGGAGCCCAAGAGAGACAGATCAGGAAGGGTGGGGGACACACAGGAAGCTGGGGGAGCCATGACTGACAGTTTGGTACCCAGGAAAGGGGCGGGGCTAAGGAAAGCAGGAGCAAAGCTCAGAGCACAGAGGGACCGACTAGTGGGACATCACGGGTGTCGCCATGAGGGGCTGCAGAATCTGTTTCCTACGACACTGAAGCTCTAAGACGACTTAGCTATTTTGGTTGGGTGTCTGGGGGGAGGGTGGGGAACACAGAAAGAATGCGCACGCACATATGTGGGTATAAAAACCTTACAGATGCTAGGTATGGCACCCGAAATCCCAGCACTCAGGAGGCTGAGGCAGGAGGATTGCTATAAATTTCAGGCCAGCCTAGACTGTATTAGTGAGTTCAAGACTAGCCTAGATTATATAGCAAGACCCTGTGCCCAAAAGCAAGAAATTTTTTTTTCAAAAAGCACCAAAGAACACCTAACAACCAACCTTCTGGGAGTAACAGGCTCACTCTCAGAAACAAAAGACAAAAGCATGTCGGCTGGGCGTGGTGGCTCACTCCTGTAATCCCAGCTCTCGGGAGGCTGTGGCAGGAGGATCGTGGCAAGTTTGAGACTAGCCTGGGCTACAAAATGAGCTCAAGGCCAGCCTGAACTACATAGCAAGACCCTGCCTCAAAAAGACAAAAAAAAAAAAAAAAAAAAAAAAAAGACAAAAGCATGGTAGTCACAGACACCATGTTAAGGAAGCCACTGAGGATTGAGCTTGGAGCGTCCTGGCAGCCAGGGTAACAAGGGCTATAGAACACTGAATGCAAGACTCTCGTGTCACGGTGGTACCCAGGGCACGAAGAGGGAGAGGATATGGGGCTGGGGTATAACTTAGCAGCACAGCACCTGCCTGGCAAGTGCAAGGTCCTGAGTTCGATTCCTGGTACCCCCCCCCCCAAAAAAAGGGAGAGGAAACAGAATGAAGGCCAAGGAGGGGGCAGGAGCCAGTCACCTGGTGTCTCCAGCGTCACCGACTCGGAGAACTCGCCTGCAACCGCCTTGTTACAAGCCTTAACACGGAAGTTCATGTACTTCATATCGAACTTGAGACCTGGGAGGCAAGAGCAAGACAGCAGGGCTGTGTAGCCTCCGTGGCCTGAGCACGGGTTAGGACGGCCGCGCGCCAGTGAGCCCGCACCCGCACCCGCAGCCCACGCTCAGGACACCTCAGAGCCAGCACCCCTCCGCTGGGCGCCGCCCTAACCTACGCAAGGTGCTTCCGTACTGCCTGAGTCCCGGCCACAGCAGCCAATCGGGATGTGCTAGGATCCCATCTCCGTGATTGGTTCAGAGACAGGCACATGACCGAAGTTGGCCAATCAGAATTGACCCTGGAATTTTAGTACTATACCAAGCACAGGAGCTGTTCTTTCAGGGTAGGGCCAAACTCTCTTGGGAGAATTTTTTTCTTCTTTTTTTTTTCTTTTTTAGTTTTTTTGAGGCAAGGTCTTGCTATGCAGTGCAGGCTGGCTTTGAGCTCACTTTGTAGCCCAGGCTGGTCTGGAACTCGCAAAGACCCTCCTGCCTCAGCCTCCCAAGTCCTTTTGTCTTTTTGAGACAGGGTCTCCCTATGCGGTTCAGGCTGGCCTTGAGTTC